TGTCTTTGAACCATGAATGTTGTTTGGACAACAAAAAATTCAATAAAATAACAGCATTAAAGTTCTGTAAAAAAAGCTAATAAGCTGCTAAAAAAAAATTATAAAGCTGAAAAACATAAAGAGTGAAACAACATCTAACATAAATGAAATCCTTACAACAGTCGAAGACTAAAGAAAACTTTATAAAACCCAACAAAAATTACAAAGCACCACCGAAGAGGAAGAAAAAAGGAGTGGAGCAGGATTCAGAAGACATACCAGAGATTACCAAGGAAGAAATAAAACATGTCCATAAGACAAAAATTGAGAAAAAACGTGAAGTAGATGGTATAGTAGTGGATGCAGTTAAATTTGGAGAAGTTCTCTTTAAAAAAATTCAGTCCATTCGTTGTTTATCTAGAATCTAGATTTTTCTAAAGCCCTTGACCGTGTACCTAAGCGCAGACTTCTACATAAGCTAGAACATTTCGGAGTTCGCGGTACTTTACTTCGTTGGATAGATGATTTCCTGACAGATCGATATTACAAAGTTAGAGTTGGCGAATCTTTCTCACAGGACAGGTTAGTGGAAAGTGGAGTGTCTCAGGGTTCTGTCCTTGGACCTCTGCTTTTTACCGTTTACACCAGCGATATTCCTTATTATGTCTCAAGTAAAATATTGTTCTACGCTGACGACACAAAAATATATGCCAATCCAATCACAAACCAGCTAACCCTCCAAATGGACTTGGACTCTATTTTAACTTGGTGTTCCCAGTGGTTACTACCCTTAAACGCGGAAAAATGTGTAGTGCTTCGAATTAGTAAAAATAACTCACGTGTGCCGTACTTTGTTAACGGGCAGCCATTAGAATCTGTGTTTTCGTATAACGATCTTGGTGTTATCGTGAACAGCAGCCTAACTTGCTTACCATATTACCTCTATTTGTAAACGTGCAAACTCCAGACTGTATCTTATTCAGAGGTGTTTTTCGAGAGTTTCAAGCAATCTTTCTGTAAACTTTACACTCTGTACGTAAGACCCATACTTGAATACACTGGACCAACGTGGTATCCTGATCTGGTTCGAGACAAGACTTTGTTGGAAAACGTTCAAAGAAAAGTAACTCGAATTTATTTGGGACCGAGAAGACCGTCTTATGCAGAAAGACTTAGTATGGCTAACCTAACTACTTTTGAACTTCGCCTAAAACGTGGAGACCTAATTACAACATTTAAAATACTAAAATTCAATTTTGGAAACCTCGATGAAATATTTATTATAAATCAAGATGAAAGCCTCAGAGGTCATCAGTATAAACTAAACAAAGAACATTTTTCTACAAGACAAAGACAGAACTTTCTTCCAAATAGAGTTTTTGAGTGCTGGAATAACCTTAACGATAACATTGTCTCCGCTCCCTCTACCAACTCTTTCAAAAACAGACTTTACCGTTTTATATTATAGTTAAAATATTGTTTTTCTTTTAAACCATAAAATTGTAATTTTATTTGTTTAATTTGTAATTTTTGTTATTTACTAGTAGATGATTAATGAAATTTCTTTGTTTTTGGGCATAATAGGGACTTAGTTCCTCTGCCCTCGCTTATATTATAATAATAATAATAATAATAATAATAATAAATAATTCAACATAATTTCATGCGATTGCAATAACTTTTAAATAATATTAATATGCAAAAATGGAGACCTTACAAAAATCGAAAACTATAGACCTATAAGTCTCATTTCTCATTTGTATAAACTTACCAAAATATAGAAAGCTATAGAATGCAACCACTAGTCCCCTGCGTCCACTAGTACTAGTACTAGTTCACTAATATGCTTTCACTAGTACTAGTTCTTATTGAGTTCAAATAATACGATAGAATTGAATAAAATATTTAGAGGCTCTAACCTTGTTCCGTGAGAATTACATATACATCAGTTTAATTTATAACATATACAAAAAATCTAGTTCGAAGTTCTAGAGTATGCTAGAAACGCTAATGCTCACTACAAATAATGCTAATAAACAGAATCGGAAGGAGGAGCCTGAAAAGATCAATATTAGAGTGGAAGAAATCATAGAAAAAATATAAAGGTTAAAATGGAGATTTGCGGGATATGTAGCATATCTCTGGGATGACAGATGGACTAAAAGTTTATTGAAATGGAGACCCTGTGAAGATAAAAGAAGCCAGGGAAGACCATCGACACCATATACAGACAACATTATGGAAATTACAGCATAACTGGATGCATGTTGCTCAAAATGCAATTTCCTTGGTCGTATGGAGGAGCCTTATGTCCACAACCTAAATGATGATGATTATGATAATATTGAGCTGTTTTAAGAAAAAATTTTGAGGGATTTAAAATGAATCCAAAAATTTGCATCGTTTTTGCAGTTTCAATTGCAATAAATAAAAATAAACAGGTCTATCAAATGAATTACTAAAGGAAAGCTAAAAAATATTATATCTGAAGTTAAAAATTTTTTAAAACGGGACACTTCTGTAAGTATAGCTTGTAACCTCGGAAATCTTTTTTGGGGTGGTGCTAGAAAGATAACCAATGGAGACACTGCGGACGGCAGCCAGATGGTTGGTGGAGAGCGAGTCGTGGGTTCGAAACTAGCTTTTGGAACCGGGATTGGGTCCAACGGAGGAAATAGGTAAAGATAGGATAACAGATATTAGAAAAGATACAGAAATAAACAAAAAGATAGATGGGTAAAATTACCAAAGATAAGAGAAGATAGAAACAGGGCGCCACTCAATTTTTTGGGGTTAAGGAGAAAATTAAGAAAACCTTAGAAAAGAAAAGAGATAAGAAAAGATATTTAGGTTCAGAGATCAAACCCAAGGAAAGATACCAACAGTAAATTATCAAATAAATCTGGTCAACGCAATATATAAACAAATAATAAATATATTAAGTATTACACTTACTTACCTACGAAACTTAATCAGCCTGATCTTTCTACAGTTCAAAAGCATAGTAATGTTTAAAGATAGTAATTGTTCAGAGCTATTATTTTATCAGGGAACTTGTTAGGAGCCGACAAATAAAATACATGCATAAAACAATAACAATATATTAAACACAAAATTATGATGCTGCTAAATGCAACCCAGGTAATAAAAATACACAACTATGAAATGGTGTTATATATGTATAAAATTAAGCAATAATGTAATAAAAAAATACCTTTACCAAGATATATAAGGTAATCATATACAAATATAGTTTGGCGTATTTCGAGATATTATAGGAAAGATAATGAACAAAAATTATAGGAAATACAAAAGATAGCAAAAATTACTTAACTCTAAATTTACAAAAAAAAAACAAAAAGGTTACAGGAATGAAAACATAAACCAAACCGCACTTGGTTAAGTCAATTAACTATCTCGCACTATTATTTTAATAAAAAACTGAGACTTGTATGTTCATAGGTAATATTTATAGAAATTTCTTGAATGGTTCAATTACATTCAAAAATCGGCAATCTACAGGTGAAGATATAGATGATACGTCCAGATAATGGCAGGTGATATGGTACCATACCATATTACTCGCCCAGATAATTGTAGATAAAGATTACTTACAGTAGATCTTGACGAAGGCAGCTTAATTCACTGAATTTAATACTTTTCTGGTACTAAACACTGAATTTAATAACCATTAAAGGTAGTGTAGAACTATATATAATTTAATATAGTCTAAGGAAATAAAACTCAAATATGAAGTGTACACACACTTAGAAAATAATTCACAGCGACGATAAGATAAGAAATATCGTGAGCAAAGCGCATCACGAGATATCACTTCACTCAACAAGAGCCCACCGAGAAGTAAATTGGTTCCCTAAAAATTTCACCAACTATCCAAGAAAAAAGAAGAAGAAGGTATATCCCCCACTTCAAATCATCGGACAGTCGTATGTATTTCTCAGAAGGTAAGGCCTTAACGACTATTGGAAAGTTTGAGGTAAAATAATCGGTATTAACAATTGGACCTGAGACTATTAAAATTCTTAGGATTATATTATTGTCAAAAGATACGGGCCTTCGGCGAAAATTACCAATTTATGAAAAAGAAACTGCATACCGGAAAGCATTCGTTCTTTTCATACAGAGTATTAAGACGGAAGGATTAAAAACCTTTCTTAATTAGGGAATTCTATTTCAGCTTGGTGCCTACAATAATATTTTCCTATCGTAAACACGGGGATTCCTAATCATCGGCGTATTGCACAGGGGTAAAAGGAATTAAAAATAATTTGATATATTAATAATAAAAAAAATGTTACAAGCTTAAGGTTAATAATATTCACAATGTTGGTAAATATGACTATAAATAATTTAAAGATAAGACTTCTGAGATGCTACGTGTTCCCCGTATTATTTTATGGATTGGAGGCTTGGACATTAAAGCAAGATGTTTCGGACATATTAGAAGCCTTCGAGTTATGGGCCTAGAAAAGGATATTAAGAATAAGATCGGTGGATAAAGTCACGAATGTTGAGGTTTTAAATACAATTATCAGATTGTCAGATCAGATAATTATTGTCAGATCATTATCAGATATCAATTAATTTAAAAGTCAGAAAACTGCAATATCTGGGACATATCATGAGTGATGAGCGTTATATCTTGTTGCAATTAATAATACAAGGAAGAATACAGGGTAGAAGGAATCGTGGAAGAAGATGCATCTCCTGGTTAAACAAATTTATAAATTCGTTTAACTACACTTCTGCTGACCTCTTTAGAGCAGCAGTATCGAAAGTACTAATGGCCATGGTGGTTGCCAACCTTCTTAGATGAGAAGATATACAACATATATAGAGATGTACAACAATCACACAACGCACCGACGATTAATATAAAAGCCTTTACTAATTTAGAAGGTAAAAAATTGTTATACAAGTATTATTATAAAAATATTTGCTAAATCCGTACTTTTTAAATATATAATCTTAACTGACTTTATATCCTTTGTGATACTTACTGTGTACGTTCCAAGTCCTAATACAGGCATTTTGTATCCTCCACTGTTCACATATTCCATGGCCGTTATTTTTGTTATACATAATTTTACATAAAGTAAAATCATAAAATTTAAAAAATGTAACTTCATTTTGATCGTCGATGTTGAATAAGCGAACGTCCGAATAAAACTAAAATCAACAAGTGTACTCGCGAGACCTGCAAGATGCAATGATAATGAATAAAGTGTTGGTCGAGGTTAGACGAGGTAAGTTGATTTAAAAATAAAGAAATTGCGGTTTGTGTAATGTGCATGTTGTAGGCACATTTAAGGTAAAAATGAGTGTAGGTAGGTAAAGTTATTATATACTTGTGTTATAAACTATATTTTTAAGTAAAAATATATATTGAGCAATAAAAAAAATGTAATAAATATATAATAGGTAATATTTAGCTGAGTACTTGTGATTATTTAAGAACTACAATCAACCATTTGAATTGAGTTGCGTACCTGTTTCTTTGTGATATATATACAGGGTGATTGATTAGTGTGAGGAAGCTCAGTAGATATGTTATAGTAAAAGTTCAAAAAGAAAGTTATTGTAAAAGTTGTAGGCAGCTTTAAACTCCACATTTTAAAATTAGTTACAATCTTATAGGGTGTTTCATAAGATGGTGGCAGACCAAATTTAGGTTATTTTAAATGGAACACCCTATATTTTATTTTAAATTTGAAATTTGCTTCACTTTCACATCACAACAATGTAAAGTTTTATTATGTCATACCGGGTATTTAAAAAGTTATAACCAATATTACCTGAAAATCCTGTTAAGTTTAACTCCCTGTATAATTAAAAAGGAATATAGGAACATTGATCTATTGCAACCGTAGTTTTTTGACAATTGTTAAAAATTACAAAACATATTCGTTTTCATAATATTCGTTAAATCAAATACAGGGTAAGTCAAAATGCAAGTACAGTATTTTCTTGGTAATTTTAAATAGAACACCCTGTATTTTATATCACTATTGAAAAGTACTAATATCGAATTGATTTCGAGAACTATTTTACGGATTTATTATCAGATGTCGCTATTGCGTCCATATCGAAGCCATTTTAATGTTGCTTCTTAAAGACAAAAAAGATTTATTTTTCACGTTGAGAACGCCTTGAATAGCTGTTCTGATGAGGCCTATTAGGCCGAAATACGTATAAACAGATACATAGACGCTTTGTACGTGAAATCTAATCTTTACTGTCTTTTTCATTTTATTCGGATCTACTCTGTATGAGTACAAGAAACCAATTCGCTAAGGATTTCTGCTTAGGTGGGGAGACATGTGGAATGCAAATTTTAGATTCCCCATGTCTCTTTTAACGTCTTGTATCAACGTCTGTTCACCTTGCAATTTGCAGATGGTTCAGATTAGGGAAGAAATCTGAATTGGTTTCGAAAACTATTTTACGGATTTATTATCAGATGTCGCTATTGCGTCCATATCGAAGCCATTTTAATGTTGTTTCTTAAAGACAGAAAATATTTATTTTTCACGTTGAGAACGCCTATGAATAGCTTTTCTGATGAGGACTATTAGGCCGAAATACGTACAAACAGATACATAGATGCTTTGTACGTAAAATAATCTTTACTGTCTTTTTTATTTTATTTGGATCTACTCTGTATGAATACAAGAAACCAATTCGCTAAGGATTTCTGCTTTGTTGAGGAGGCATGTCGTGGAATGCAAATTTTAGATTCCCCATGTCTCTTTTAACATCTTTTTCAACGTCTGTTACGCAATGTTTAGAAGGTTTAGATTAAAGCAGAAATCTGAATTGATTTCGAAAACTATTTTACGGATTTACTAATATCGTACTTCAAATTTTATGAAGTGCTCCCTATACCTAAAGTTATCAGTTTTCTAGATATTTTTATTTTTCCATCAAAGTATTAATTTGGTAGATATTTTAACGTTTACCAATAATTATTGTGAGTTGGCCATGATTGATTTGTCAGCAACTGACAGTTTAAAATTATTATTATTGACAATCTTTTTAAAATTTTATAATAGTATTAATCTTAGCTCTAGGTTTATATATATATATATATATATATATATATATATATATATATATATATATACAAATCCGTAGAAATATAAACCTAGACCATAATTCAAATACCAAATACACAATTATGGCTCGTTGTATATGGTTTTTGTTTTTGTCAAGATTATTTTTAGGCCAACTTCATTCCTAGCTCTATTTAAGTCGTTTATAAGTTCTTGTAGTTCTGCGGGATTATTAGCAATCAAAAAGATGTCGTCTGCAAATCTTAGATGGCTGAAGTATTCTCCATTAATGGGATTCCTTTGTTCTGCCAGTTCATTTTACTGAATATCTTATTCTTAACGTGCCCTATCAAGTCCCCTTGACGTTGGCGATTAACATGGCGAAACTGTCTCTGTCTCGAGCTATTTTAAAGAGTTGCTCAGCTTTCCTTATTCCTGTCCACTCCCTGATATTCTTCAACCAAGAGGCCTACTTTCTACCAATTCCTCTGCGTCCTTCGATTTTACCCATCATAATAAGTTGAAGAATATTATATCGGTCTCCCCTTACTACGTGTCCAAAATAGGCCATCTTTCTACATTTGACGTTATCAAACAGCTCGCGAGCAGCATTTGCGCTCTCAAGGACTGCCACATTTGTCAGCATAGCCGTCCATGGAATTTTTAGTATACGTCTGTGCAGCCACATATCAAAGGCCTCCAGACGATTAATGGTGGATATTTTTAATGTCCATGCTTCGACACCATATAAGAGGACTGACCAAATGTAACATTTAACCATGCGATTTCGAAGTTGAAATTGCAAGTTATCATTACAGATGAATGACCTCATTTTTAAAAATGTCGTGCGGGCTATCTCGATTCTACATTTTATCTCTTGATCTGGATCTAGTTGTACACTAATATGGCAACCAAGATAATTAAAACTGGACACTCTCTGAATTATATGACCATCAACATATAATCGTGCATCTTGATGTGCTAAACGGCTAAACACCATGTGTTTTGTTTTTGAACAGTTTATGTTTAGGCCAAACTCTCTTCCCACTGTATCAATGGCATTTAAAAGGCATTGTAGTCCATTCATGTCATCACTTAAAATAACTGTATCGTCTGTACATCTGATTGTATCTATCAGAATTCCATTAACTTTCACGCCCCATTCCAAATTATGCAGCGCTTCTTTAAATATTCTATCTGAATATAAATTAAATAACAGTGGGGATAGTATACAACCCTGTCTGACACCTCTTTGTTTTTTACATATTTATGTTGATTTTTCGTTTATGCAAGCTGTCGCTGTTTGACGACAGTATAACTTTTCAATGAATCGTATGTCTTGAGTATCAACTCCTTTATCTTTTAATATTGTAAATAATTTGTGATGCTGTACTCGATCAATGGCCTTTTTATAGTCAATAAATACAGCAAAGACGTCTTTCCTTTGATCTCGACATTTCTGCAGTAATATATTTAGTGCAAAGAGGGCGTCCCGAGTTCCCAGTCCATCCATTTACTGAATATACTTCATCTAATTTACTTACCGTTGTACGTCATCCACGTCATAGTCCGTGAGGTCACATGATACCAACACGAAATATTTAGGCGGTAGGTGTGTTCTTTTTTAAAATCACTTTGCAGAGTACACTGGCATTACAGCCACTAGACATATTTTATTATATACGTTGAATTAAATTTCAACTTTAAATATTATTTGCTTAGAAATAATATTTAAAGATTTCTATTAATGTTATCTTAAAGAAATATACATTAATATGTTTCATTTAATTTGTATAAATGCATTATAAAGCGTTTTTATGAAAAACATTTGTTCGGATCACACTGTAACTATAATCGAACGAAGGTGATATTTTGGCATAAATTGACACTTTTTGTATTTTATAATTTCTAATTTTAAAGTGAATACCTCTTGTTTTATATTTATAACTATTTAATAAAATCTGTTCTTTTTCGAACAAAATTAGTGTGTTTTATTTCAAAAATGTCACCTAAGAATTTAAATAGTCGTTGTAAAGAGATGGTAATACTTTTGCAATAGTTATGTGACCTATTTGATTTAAAATGGACTCAGGATTTTTTTATACTTTGGCAACTATGCTAACTTTTATCTCTGTCAATGATAATGACGTGAAACGGTAAGTAAATTAGTTGGAGTATACTTTGTAAGGCGTCGAAACCCTCCTTTCACCTTCCTCCTTCTTCTATACAACGTACTTATATTAACAAAGTAAAAAAATAATATATTGTTACACACTTAACAGTGTTTCAATTTCCAGACACTCTTGAATCGTTTTGCTACTATATCATTTGTTGAAAAAAGTAACCAACATTCATTACCTTATAGCAACTTCTTCTTCTTCTTAACATGCCATACACCAAAGTGCGTAGGCGACTATCTCATTACTAGAATTCTGTTCTTGGAGGCGTGACACAGCTCACCTGTATTGTGTATTCCTGTCCATTCTTTAATATTCCTTAACCAGGACAATTGTTTGCGGTCGGCTCCTCTCCTACCTTCGATCTTCCCTTGTAGGATTAACTGTGGTATTTCATATTTTGCTCCTCTCAATATGTGCCCAAGGTAACCAATCTTGCGTTTTTTAATTAATTCAAAGAGTTCTCTTTCCACGCCGGCTCTATTAAGGACGTCATCGTTTCGAACTCTATCCACCCAAGGTATGCGCATCATTCTTCTCAATGACCACATTTCAAATGCTTCAAGTTTGTTGATAGATGTTTTTTTCAAAGTCCACGTTTCCATGCCATAAAGCAAGATGGACCATATGTAGCACTTGACCATTCTGTAGCGTATTTCGAAGTTTAGGTGTTGATTACATAGGAGCGGTCTGAATTTCTCAAAAGCTTGTCTTGCCATTTGTATTCGGGTTTTTATCTCGTGTTGTGGATCCGATTGGTCATTGATTGTGGTGCCAAGGTATTTAAAAGTTTTCACGCGATTTATACGATTGGCACCTATGCATAATATCGAGATTTCTGGATTGTTTCTGCTAATGACCATATATTTCGTTTTCAAAATGTTGATTTTGAGGCCATAT